CAGAGGTGAGCGGGGCCGGGGCGGAGGTCGGGGCCGGGGCGGAGGTGGGGGCCGGGTGCACGCCGGACGCAGGTGTGGGGCGACCTGGGCCCCAGCAGCCTCAGACGCAGGGATCGGGGTGGCCGGAGCCCGGTAGCCCGGAGCACAGGTGTTGGGTGACCTGGGGTACATTTGCCCAGGACGCAGGAGTTGGAGTGACCTGTCCCCAGCAGCCAGGACACAGGGGTCAGTCAGCCCAGGATGCAGGTGTCGGGCGTACCAGCCCCCGACTCTGCGGTCTTGGTGGCCAGGGGGCCATCAGCTCAGGACACAGGGGTCAGGGTGACCTGGGGCACGCCAGCCTCCATGACTCAGGGGTTGGGATGGTCGGGAACTGTGGGTCCAGAATACAGGGATCAGAGTTGGGGTGTTCGGGGCCCACCAGCCTAAGTCACAGGGGCCGGGGTGTCTGTGGTGATAGTCCAAAACAGGACAGAATTGAGATAACCTGGACTCCTGTCAGCCCCTGGGCAGGTGGTCATTGTCCCCTTCATGCTGTCAGCTCCTGAATGTGGAGATCAGGGTCTTCTTCACCTTGGGAGTCCCCTGAATTTGGGTTCCAGAGTTCCCTCAGCCGAGTCAGCCCCCACACCAAGGGTCCTGTTGGCTCTGGACGTACCCCTTCCCCGCACCTGCCCTGTCGATGCCCGCCAAGGACTCCAGCGTCTCTTCTGCGCCCGCCGCACGTCTGCCTTCTCGTGACTCAGCCTGTGGCTCGGGGTCCTCCTCACACTGCTCACCCATTCTCAGAGCTTCTGCACCCAGCCAGACCCCACAGCCGCTGGGCTCTGCCCCCGCCCCCTGAGCACAGCACCCTCGGGCCTGCCTGACCAGCGTCTGCACTTCTCCCCTGCCCTGGTTTTATTTCTCGGAGCCCTCAGCCCACCTCAGGGCTGCTGCTCTAGGCTGGCCTCCTGCCACGTACCCTGTCTCCTTGCGGAGGGTACTGGGCCTCCGGTGACACTGCCTCTACTTCCCGAGGAGTGGCTGCAGGAGCCAGGCCTGGACGTGTGGGGTGCCTATGCCCAGGCTGCCCTTGGCTCTGTGCTGCGTGCAGGGGTGCGGGGGACGGGCTGGTGTGGCGGCCTCTTCGTACCTGGAAGTCCTGGAGCCAGCCTGCAGGCTGCTCATGGTGGAGAGGTTCCGGCGGTCCTGGCTAGGGACCCCTCGGGCATGTTCCTGCGTGTCTGAGGGTGTCACCATCCCAGCGGGAAAATGGGAGCATTCCCAGCTGTGGGCAGGCTGAGAGGGGCTGCCTGCCTGCGCCTTTGCACAGGATGTTCCCCTACAGACTAGGCTGGCTGCTGCTGCAGAGCAGTCAAGGGGGCCACTTGGGGCCCAGGGAACAGTTTACCCTGAATGTAGCAACTGGGTACCAAGCACTTGGTGTGCTCAGCCCCTTCGTGAAGAGCAGGATCCAGGAACTGCCCGGCCACTCTGCGGGGACAGCAAGTCCCCGTCAGGACTCGGAGGGAAGCGTGGGGACCGAGGCCCACCACAGCCAGCCTCAGGCTTGCTTCTCACACCGTGTGAGTGCCTGGGACCAGGAGTTGTTTTAGGCCTCCTTTCGGCAAAGAGCTCATGTGCCTGTGTACTAGACCCTGTGAGCAAAGACCAGCAGCCTGCCCTGCGGCCCTCCAGGGCGGGAGAAGTTGAGGGAGTGGACACTAGCATGCTAGGGGAAGCACCGTCACTCCGAGCTGCGCCTGCAGGCAGGCTGGCCCGCTCTGTGAGCGCTGCCTGCTGTGCAGTGCGTCTCACCGCCCCCAGCAGTTCTGAAGAGGGCGTGTGCCTTGGCTAGCTTCCGTGGGGTGGGCTGTGGGCGGTGCCCTGAGTCTTCTCTCTGCAGCCACTCCGGTCCCTGCGTCCCTCCACCCCTGACCTTGGTCCTCAGGGAACTGTCTCCTGCCGTCTCCCGCTTGGCCTGCCTTCGAGTTCCCAGTCAGACGTCTTTCCTGCTGTCCCCATCGCAGTACCTTGCGGAAGTCATCCCTCCTGGGACTATGCTGCCAAGTTCAGGGTACTACTCTGCTTTCCTGGAGTTGTTGACACAATGGGCAGCAGGCTCCGAGGACGTGGATTGGGGCCCACCAGCCTGAGTTGCAGGGGTCAGGGTGTCTGGGGCCAATAGTCACCCTCTCTCTGCTCCCAGGCCAATCACTAAGCAAGGGAGGGGAGCCACTAGTAAAGGGAGCTTCTGGCTGCTGGCCTTAGAACTCCAAGATCGTTGAATTTAGGAAATGAGCATCCTGGAGGTAGCCCCTGAAGTGCATGGCATCGGCGTGGTGGCCCGGCCCAGCTCTGGAAGCACACCCGCTTCAGATCCTGGCTCTGCCATCCAGTGGCTCTGACCTTGAGCGGCCAACAGGCCTCGCCCAGCCGCAGTCTCCCCTTCTGGGACGTGTTCACACGAAGTACTGCCTCCCTGAGGTGAGGTGTGCCAAGGGCTCAGCAGGGTGCAGGACAGTGTCAGAGAGATGCAAGGCGGGCCACCAGGGAACGGTCGCATCGCCGTCTGGGGTGGAGTTTGTAGGGACATGCAGGGCTTTCAGCATTTCTGCAAAGCCAGTGAGAGACTCGTTGGAACCCTTGTTTTCTTCGTAGAACTGTTTATTTTCATTTAACGTTGTGATTAATGCCCACAAGCAAGCTGCAGGCTGGGTTGGAGCAGGTGTTCTGAAGCCAAGCCTGGCAGACAGGCTTCCTGCTGCGCCCTTTGTGCCGCTGTCCTCTGCCGGGTTCCCCTGCCGGGGTCTCCTGGGGCCGCTTGACAAGGACCACAAACCAGGCAGCATATACAGCAGCAGCACTTCGCTCTCCCCCAGTTCTGGTGGACAAAAACCCAGTGTCAGGTGTGGAGAGAGCCATCCTCCAGGGTGGGGGGGTCCCTCCTGCCTTTTCCAGTTCTCAGGAGCGCTGGCATCCCATGGCTTGTGGTTGTGCTGCTTTGACCTCTGCCTGTCTCCACATGCTGTTCCGTCGTGGGTCTGTCTCATGGCCTTCTCTTCTTAGAAGGAACCCGTCATCGTCCTCATCTTAAATTGATCACATTGGCTGCGACTCTATTTCCAGCTGAGGCCCTATTCACGGCCCCGGGGCCTGGGACTTCCATACCTTGGGGTGGAGCACGCAGCGGCCCTCAGTGTCCCGGCGCTCAAGAGGGAGGGAGACGGCCCACAGGCCGGTGGTGTTCTGCATCACCACAGATGCAGCCTGGACAGACGGAGCTGGGTGCAGCGTGAGGCAAGGGCATCGCTGTGCTGGTGGGAACAGACCCCCACCGCAGAGAGCCCCCTGGACTGTAGCTGCAGGGACAGACTGCTGTCTCAGCCAGTTCCCGCTCAGCATTCAGTGGCTACCAGGTTAAAGCGATTTCAGTCCAGCATCTGCCAGTTTGTTTACAGCCCTGAGTGGGAGTGGCTTTCTCCAGCTGGGAAACAGCTGGGAGTGGTTAGTTAAGGCTGGCTCCCAGAGACACATGTCCCTGTGGCAACGCAGAGGCCTGGCTGGGACCAGGACCTGGCCCCCAGGCCCCTCCCTGCCCCAGGACCCCCTGGGGTCCTCACACCCTGTGAATCGTCCCTGCTGGGAGTGAGGGAATCGGGTGCTCTGGCTTTGCCCAGGATTCGGGGAGACAAGTACCCCTGGTGAGGGTCTCCTGTGTGCCAGGCAGGGGAGATAGAACAGTGGGCCAGCTGGACAAGACACTGCCCATGCTCCTGGCAGGGGAGGTGTGTGTGCATGGGTGGCAGTGCTGAGCATGCTGGCCCTGAGCCAGGAAACTGTGGCCCTGTGGTGGAGGGGCCACCCGCTCCCACCCGGGTTTCAACACCTTCCTGCAGTTGGCCACTCCGGAGCCCAACCTGAGCCTGCATGGCCACTTCGCTCTGTCCAGGTTCCTAATGGTGACATGGTC